CATCTTAGGGAACTCTATCACAGAATCGAAAGGCTTTAGCTTATAAACTGTCCTGGCCCACAGCACAATAAAGCCTAATTGCAATCTTTTGCAGAATGTACCTTCTTTTGTTTTCCTTCCTCTTCCAAGAGTCTCAGTCTTTTGCATTCCATTGCCTTGTACTGAATGCTCTCCTTGGTGAGTGGGTTGTAGTTATTATGTCCAGGCAGCAGGCGAAAATAGCGGTTCTTTTCTACGTCATAGTAAAAGCCTGGCAGTTCTTACGAGAAGAAAAAAAAACAAAAAAAAACAAGTGGCTAAAACCCAGGCAAAAATCAGATGGATAATTAAGTTTGTTTATTGCTCTTTGACATCCCACATCTTCATGGGAATGTCAGTCACAAGGCTCAAAGCTCTTGCTCCCAGTAGGTCCCAAGCATGATACACAGACTAGGAATAGGTACCAGACACTAAAAAAAAAAAAAAGGCTTATTTATAGTTTTCAAATGCAGTGCCATTACAAAGGTACAGAAAGGATGTCACTACTGACCACGCCTAAATTCAGACAGATCAGAGAAGCAGAGAGGAAAGGTTTTACTGCAGAACAAAAATTACTTTACTTCATAAATCAATCATGAGAGGACATTCTTAGTTAAAAGACTGGGTAGGGACATCCCAAACAAACAAAAAAAACACCTGACAACAAGGTATCACCCAGACCGAAATGAAGTGATTCAATTCCCACAAGCCACTCTTTCTTCAACACACAGGAGAGATTTAGATGCAATCAAGAGACACAGAGCCTCTGTCTGTTGTGCATTTGGACTACACACAGAGGCTCCTTCCAAAGATAAACTGGGATGAGAGAAACATTAAGTTTTAGTGCTTCACTGCCCAAGTAAGTTCATAGAGGCAGACTGGTAAAATACTTTGACATATCCCTAATGGTACATTGTCTCAAGACAAAGGATTTTATTCAGAAGAGGTGAGTGTTAACATTTAATTTTGAGTTTTTACTTAAACTTTTATCTACTACAAGAAATCTGAAGTCACATCTTTTTGCTGCTGCCTAAAATTCAGCTCCTTGTCAGCACCTTTTTGGGTTCAGCTTAGCAACAAGTGACCAAGATTTATTCAGGTCAACAAAAATATAGTTAGTGAATGAATCAGTAAGGTTCATGAAAGTACACTTAATTTAGTATCTAGAATCTAATTAGCAATAAACGTTTGCAGGGTACATCTCCTAACATGCTCACAACCTCTTATGCACAAGAGGGTGACACACAAAAAAGGTCTCTTTAAACTCTGGCTTTGCCTGCTGTTAAGAGGTTATAGAGTCAGGGCTGTTTCAGGACTACTGTGGAGAAATACATGTTCCCACACGCTTAGCTTTTGCTAGGGTTATTTAACGAGTGAGGAAACCTGAAAGCAAACCGGACATCTTCCTCAACAGCACTGCTACTGAATCAAGTCTGGTTTCACTGGTTGACTCCCTGATAATGAAACAAACATTTAGCCAGAGTGTTTTTCTTACAGATTACAAAATACACTGAAGGCATACAGAGAGGTGATCCCGCCGCCCCTAAGTGGTGGATCGTTGTGTCTTATAAAAAGATTGAATAACTGGATGCAAGTTATCATTTTTTTATATGCTCTCTTATTTTCTTTATTTAATGTTTCTATTGAAAGATGTATTTTATAACATCTTCAGCACATACGAGAAAAGAAACAAAGTTCATTTTCTTCCCAAAGCAACATTTCTGGAGGTAGAAACAGAATTCTATTTTTTTCAGTTCATATCAACTTAGCTAAGCACTTAAGTTTTCAAACGTGAGAAGTACCTGTGGGCCTGAAAGGGCATTTGGCCCTGCTCTCTAGATCCTTATTTACTGAATCTTTTTTATCAGCCAATGTTACTTTTCCCTATAAGCTTTACTGCTAATATCCTTCCTGTAACACCACACTATTAATGCTACTACTACTTTTTCATACAGTCAGCATATAGGCACTGGGTTTTGACCTGTAAATATGGTCTCTTACCTGGTACTACAGAGTTCTGTGTTAAACTGGACAAAGAAGGATCTCCACTACTGCTGGGGCCTGCATTCACTGGGGTCTCAGTTTCCTCCTGTTCCAACCTAGAAAAATAGCACTACCTTCAAGACAGGTAAACAATTGTCCTACACATCATTCCCACAAAGAACCTACAAAGCAGCCTGTATTGATATTAATGGAGTGCAATTTTGCAGGGCTCTGATAAGCACACTGTGCATATCAATATACACCAAACTATGAAAATAAAACAGTGCAAATATTCGTCTTAAAAACCTCTCAAGAACATTAGAGATACCAACATCTTAAAAGCCTTAATTACTTGCTAAAATATCAGAGATAACTGCTGATTCTGCAGGTGCCTTTTCAGTGAAAGAGTAGTTCTGGACATTTTACCATATCCTTTAATAAAAGAAAAGCCCACCCTTGAAAGCATGTTAAGTTTCCACAGCATAAAGCAAGAGACAGTGTGGGTGAAACACTGATGTCAGGTCAAAACATTTTGCCATTCTCTTCATGGCAAGAATTTCCTTCATAAGGTTCAGAAACATGCAAAATAAACAGAAGTTTCATGAAAACTCCAAGAAAGAAAACTCTGCTTTTGTAATAAACATCACAGTCGACACGGTAACTGCAGCTTTCTTCTTTCTCAAGTAATTTAAATGGGCACATTCAGTCCTGATGAGCAAAATTCCACTGGGATGTTTCTGAATCACCCATAAAATTCTTGCTTTTTAAGACAGGTCTTACACCATGTCATCTTAAAAGCGTTAGGCCAAGATGTTTTGCAAGAGTCATAATTTACTGAAAACAAAATGAAAAGCTCTAGTCCTAGTACCAGGTCTATTGCTGTTTGATTATACGACTTTGAAAACAGTTCAGGAACATAACCTATCTAAAACGAGAAAAACACCTCACACTTCAATTTAAAGCTTGTTAATAAAACCCTTTAAAACCTATTTTCACTGAATTAGGGGCTATCTGAATTTTTAACTTTTCTTACACAAATACAAGTAATGGGGTAACTCATGTGTATGTACATGTCTCTTTCTCTAAAAATATACTTAAAAAAACACTCAGAGCATTAAAGCAAAGGATTGGCCTCTTTTATTCCTGCAAGAGGCCCTAAGGAAAGAAGACCAGAAACAGCCATAAAAATAACTCAAAGACAGGCAAGTATAAGTTCTAAAGTTGAAAATGTACTTTTCTGAAAGAATCAGTTTTCAGGACAGAGGATTATTTCTGGGACCTTGTTTCAGTTTCCTGGTCTGCTAGATGTGGTATTACCACCACATTATTTAATATGCTTGCATACTTTCAGAAAGATCCTTTAATGGTAGCTTTTACACTAGTAGACACCAAGACATAAAATAAATGGGTAGGTGGAATGAACTACTTACATTTTTCTTCCCTATCTTTACATATTGATGAAGAGTTTATGGACGATCGGGCACACCTGAAAGGGCCAGCTCTTGGAACCACTTTTCAGTTTAAATTGAATATACAGTTGCAAACATATGATAGATTTTCAGAAATTAATGCAACTGCACTCCCGCTAGTGATGACTCATATTCCAGAAGTACTGTCCACTAGATTTTTAGATGGCAACCCTCCTCGACAGCCACCCTTCTGCAAATGTGATTAGGTGTAACATCTAACAGCTTAACCCATGCTGAGCACAAGCTGCACACACTTACTTGCCTTTCAGCATAGTTACTGCGACCGGGTCTTCTGTACCGATGGGGTCGGTAGCTGTGCTTGCGGTTGCTCCATCCATGCTTTTCTTTGCTTCTCCAGAAATTTCTGTTCATTTCTACCTATAAAGCAAAACACGCGCACACACATCAACGCTACTTGCCTGGAAGGGTTCAGCATACGAGCCAGCCTTTTAACACGCCCTCTTTTCAACCAGTTTCAAGTAGCTTCGCAGTGGCCTAGAGACCAAAACCAAGGAGGCTCATTGAAGAAAATAATTTAAAGCGGAACGCTCTTAAGTCGGAACGGCATCAGGTCTGAAAGAAGAGAAAGGCACCAGGGGGGCCGAAAGACGCACAGTTGGGTGGCGGCCCCACCCGCACGCAGCGCTCAGCTCTCCCATGCGAACCCCGGCGCTCGCCCCCACCCACCAGCCCCCTCCCGGGCACCGGGGCTCTCAACACGGCCACGAACCCGAGCGACCGACGGCGGCCTGCCGGGCCCGCCTGCCCCCGGCCCAGGCGGGAGCAGCGGGCCAGTGGCCCCAGCCACGGCTTTATAAGCCACCCGGCCCGCTGACCGACCTCCCGCCCGCCCTACGAGCGCTTCCCCACGCCTGTCGGCTTCCCTACCGGGTCGGGCCCAGCTCCGCGGCTCGCCCCGCCGCGCTGAAGGTAAAACTAAAGCTAAAAGTCCCCGAAGGCGGAGGCGCGGCGGCCCCCGGGGCGGCCCGTCCCTCACCCCGCCGCCGCCAAAGCTCCACCCACCCCCCGATGGTCGCGCCTGATTGGCCCTCCTCCGCGCCTGCCTCTTGACCGACAGCCCGCTCACCAAACAGGAGAAGGCCAGGAGCCGGCGCGTGCGCCCCGCGGAAGGGCGGGGTCAGAGCGGTGGTAGGCGGGTCCCGAGCGGTGCGGGCGGGCCCGGCAAATAAAAGCAGAGTAGCGGAGGGCGTTTTTTTTTTTTTTTTTTTTTGTTTTTTACGTTTTTTTATTTTAGCAGAAAGGGGCTGTTTGGTGCGGTGGGGGGAGAAGCGGTAGCCCGCAGGTGGCTGAGGGGTGGGAGCCTGAGGGGAGCGAGCCTGAGGGGAGCTGCCCCTCAGCGCTTAAAGGCGCGTTTCTGTGTGCCCGTCAGTCTGTGGGGCGCCGGCGGCTGTGAGAGGTCCCCGGGGCGGGCTCCCCGCGCAGCGTGGGTGGGGTGGCGCGGTGGCGGGGATGGAGGGTGGGGCGGGTCAAGAGTGGAGTTCTGTGAGGGGAAAACACTTGCTACCTCCCCGGGCTGGGGGCTGGAGGTAGGGGGCTTACAGGGAAGGGGGCAGAGAGGTGTGTTTCTGCGGGGTGGGGTGACTAAAAGGGCGTCGTTGCTTTTTTCTCTGGGTCCCGTGTTGGGTAAAGGAGCGAGAGACTCTTACAAACCCTCTCAACGTCTTAAGGGTTTAGAAAAGAGAGCTGGTGGCTCTAAAGTGACCCTTCCAGCAGAGGCCTCTTGATGCTTAAATATTTTTTTGAGCCTTCTGCTGATAGGCAAGAAGCAGGTGGGGGATGTTGAGGCAGTAGTGCTAGGACAGCTTCGGGAAGCGTGCAGTGAAGGAATGAGGCGGGAGAAAAAACTCGGGGCTGCAGTAATCGGCAGCAGTGAGAGCTCAGCGCTCCTCAGGTGGTCAGCAGAAGCTGAAAGAGCAACAAAAGGATGTAGTGGTAACTGCCAGCTCTTTGCAGTCATTGTAAGAAATCCCTTCTCAACCTTTTACTAAAGGTGTCCTTAAGCTCATCTTATGCAGTGTTTTCCTCCTCCCCTTCCTGCTTATACAGCATGTAGGAGTTCAAAAATGAAAGCCAGTATGGTAAAAATAAATACATCACCCCTCCATTGTTCCTTAGCAATTGTCTAACCTCTTCTTAAAGACTTTTGGTTTGGTTTATCCTGATTATTTTATTGTATCTCTCACTGAAGGTTTTTCTGTGTTACCTGAATGCTTATTGCTGCAGTTTAAAAGCATTGCTGCTATTCCTTCTGTGGAAATAGAAAATTACTTGTTACCTTGTTCTCTGCAACCATACTCCCTATTTGAAAATTGGTAATGCTGTCCCACTTAAGTCTTTTTTCTAGATTAAAGGACTGTCTAAAGAATGCCAGTTAACTCGGTTATTACATATGCCAACTTGTAGCTTTGATCACTCTTGCTTCCTTTTTGGACCCTTTCCATGGGGAACACATCTTTCCTTGAAGTGTGTTCCCAAAAACTGGATCTACCACTATGCAGCTGAGGCTTTCCTTGTGCTGAGTGTCTTTTGCAGGCTGTATTCGTGTTTTAGCTGTGTGATGTTTTACAGCTGCACAGCAGTGTTTACTTTCATGAAGCTTATGGTCAAAAAGGATGAGGGAGTTTCAGTTGGAGAACTGATATGTGATCAGTTGTTTTCAGTCTGGGTTTGTGGAATTGCCTGTGCTTGGGCTGGTATCAACTGAATGCTGCTCTTCTCTAGGCTGGTTCTCGGACTGGTCAAGGCCACCCTGACCTGCAGAATGAACTCGGTCATCAAGTTGTGTCCTCCATTTGCTCTGGCTGTTTTTCTACAGGGATTGGTTTTATACCTGTGTAGTCCATTAAATACAGGCTAAATGTTCTGGTTATATTTATTTAATTTATTAGTTGAGTTTAAAATATAATTGTAAATTTAATTAAAACTTTCTGTAAAGTCCAAGCTTTGTTAATGACATTAGAATTTATGGTTTGGACGTAGGTTTAGGATTGCTGTAGTTTAGTGAGTTGCCTTTCATCTGAACTGCAGTACCTGAATCTGTGTTCATTCTTAGCAGTCACATATGAAAAATAAAAATAGTTTGCTTAAACTCTACTTGTGCTGAGGCTTAAGCTATGTATTTTATCTCATGTTTGTTGGGGGCTAAAACTGCATTCTGCCAGTTAAAGCTTAGCTTGCATAAGGTGAATTGCTAAGCTTTGGTAAATGGGAGGTGTACCTGGGCCCATGAATTACCCTTGGTTTGTGCAGGCTAATCAAAAGCAGGATTTTGTTTAATAGTAAAATTTATCTGTGTTCTAATGCCACTGAAAGCAAAGCAGTTGCATTAAGAGCCTATGTAACTTTGTATGTGTACTCTTTGCATTATGAGCTGCAAGAGTCCTGCAGTAATAATACCAAAGATTTTAGGTTTGAATGTGAAAGTTGCTGTTTGGCTTTTTATCTTGGTTCTCAAAATATTCTGCTGTCCCACAGGTTGGCTCTGCTGTTGATGCTGAAAATCACTTCTGGGTTCTTCTGCATCAGGTCATGGAGGAAGGAACAAACTGCTGTATCATTTAAGGTGATGAATTATCACAGTTCATATAACGATCAATAACTCGCTGCGTTTATTCTGTACTTATTGGCTTATTCTTAATTTTTTTTTGTCTTTAAGTCTGTAGCTCCCGAAGCGGTGCTGACGGTCTTGGCGGTGCTGCCTGGTGTAGTTGCGGCCGCAGATCTGATCCGCCCCAGGAGAGGGCAGCAGTGCACTTGCACAAAACCGCTGTCTCTTGGTTCTGTAGGGTATTTCTCCTGGATCTCTTTTGTACCAAGTATCGAATTCCTATAAAAATCAATTTAAAAAGGAGAAGTACACCAACGAATCCCTTTGCAACACTACTTAAAGTGTATTTATTTGTATTTATAGCTCTAAGGTCCAGGGGCACTGATGGCACATATTTTAACCAGACTTATCTCCAAGTAAGAAGGTGAAGAGTCTTTCTCCTGGTCTATCAGCTTTGTCTCCCCTGCAGGTCAAAGGTCATGAAAAGACACAGAAAAGTTGGCAAATGAAACTGAATTTTTACAGTTTGTATCATTGCATTAGCTAAGAGGTTTTCTAAAAATCCAATACTTCTGGCTGTTAATATAGCAAGGAGTGCTTGTGTGCTAAGTGACTCCTGGAAATTGTGGTAGGTTCTGCATATATCAGCTCTTATTATTTTATATGTATGCATATGTATTTTTTTTAAGTTAATCAGTTGATATAAATTCAAATTGTGCTCTGAGACTACATCTGCAGTCTTTTCCTGCCAAGTATCCTTAGCAGTGAGAAATATTCTGGTCAAACCTTGCCTTCTTTTCAGTGCTGTTGTTCTTGATGGAAGTGTTCAGATATAATTTACTTAATATTCTCCTGATCAAAGTTTGTTTGTTTGTTTTTACTGTGAGATCAAAAGGAATAAGATGTCTCAACAATTTGTATGTAAAACTTACCAGAATTAAGTCCCATTTTAAGATTATTTAGATGCTTAGGAAGGTTTCACTAAAAGACAGTAATGAAGACGTTTAGGTTATGCTTTTGCTGGTGATTATAATCAGAAGATTGACTGCAGAATATGCAGGCCTAAGTGAGTGCTGACAATTTATGTGGTTTGTATATTGGTAGAAATGGAGCTGCGGAGTTGTGGGTCTCATTAGATAGGCTGGCATGTTCCAGGAGATAGTCTCTGGTAAAAACTCATCTCTGAGACCTTCTACATGTCATCGTCTACTCCCTCCCATGGGAGGCACAGCTGCTTGGGCTGTCTTTGCTACCTCGGCGGCTGCATGCCACTTCCTGTGACTGCACTAGCCAGTGCAGGGCTGTGTTGCTGCTGCTGCTACTTGGAGCTGGCTGGAGGAAACAAAACAAATAAAATCCCCAAAACACAACAACAAAAAACCCCAAACCAGACTCCTATTGGATGTTAAGGGAACAGTTGCAGGGAGAGGACTGATCCATGTAGCTGCAACCTGGTGGGTGCGGAATGGCAGGTCTGGTGACTGTTGTTGCCAGTTTGTTAGAGAAATGCAAGTGTTTATCCCATGTGAGTATTTCCTGCTGTAGCTTCTATGGGGACTAGAACCCAAGAACCAAGCTATATTATTACTAGGCTGTTATACTTGTGTATACAATCAGGACGGGCACGGTCTTAGATATACAGAAAAGGTGTACCCATACTTGCTAATACCAACAGATTGACTCTGTTGTGCATAGTCCAGGTCAAGTGACTGAAGTGATGTGTCTGCTGAGTTACTTTCTAGAGTGAAAAAAGAGTCTAAGATTGGGAATTCAGAAGATAAGTTTCTCTACTGTGACAGTAACTCACTTCCATTGTGCAATGTGAATTTATATTTGAAATCTCTCTCCCTAGAAAGACAAGCTGAAATCCAGACTCTGGTGCTAGATTTTATGCAGATTACTCTGTATATCTTAAAGTAGCTCCTGGTGACTCTCATCCTGAAGGGATGTTAAAAATCCTTTAGCTTTTGCTGTAAAAAGAAGGGTTTGCTTTGCCGTTTTGGTTTAGACTTGCTATTCCTGTGATAGAGCACAGGCTTCTGTGCACCAGCTAGTTTTTGTGTCTGTTCCAGAAATGGCTGCACTTCAATACTATGTTTGTCTTTCAAAATAGCATACTGTCTTTGAGATGGCAAAGTGCTAAATATTCGTGAAGTACTTTTGAACATTTTTTTATGCTTTAGCTAAGTATCTTAAATATTATTTAGGTGCAGTATGAACAGTTACCTAACACTTCAAAATGTCTTTTGTTGTTTTTTGACTTCTGTCATTACTTGCGGGTTCAATCTAATAATTATTAAATAATGTAACAATATTCACTTCTCCTGCCGGTGGTGTAGGTATATGTAAGTTGTGTGGGGGTTTACACATATCTCAGTGTACAAAACCAGGACTTCATCACCACATATTTCTGTGTTTGAGTGGAGGGAATGATAATTTCAGTGCATGAGATTTGCAAATTATTTTGACCACAGAGGTGTCTGTGCTCTGCCATGTTTCCTGTGGTGCTGTAGGTCTGACATCAGACAGTTACAAAAAAAAAAAAACCTGGCCCCTTTCTTAATAATTCTAGTGCTTTTGTGAAATCTTATTTTGGTAAAAGATGATGTCTGCAGATGGTAAAATGACCTGTCAAGCAGGTAAGGATGGTAATGAGGCTTTATGCTGCTAGAACACAGAACTGGAACTGGGCCTTATATTCCTTGCAGAGCCATTGTAAAGTAGAATATTCTGATGGTGTGGTCTTTGAAGAAACCTGCACTGAATAATGCTGTCTTGCCTTTTTCTGGGGGGAAAACTTAGGATCTGCATGGGAAGGTTAAGTTCATGGTATACATAATGCTGTCTTTTGAGTAGTGGCAGCTGGCAGCTTTTTCACTTTTCCTCCAGACTCATTTGTTCAGCTTATGGGTCTCTAATACACTAAGTGCTTGGAGTTACAAGATTGATTTCTAGCCTCGTATTTAAAAATTGCCACTGAAAAAAACTGGTCAGCGTCTCCAAAAAAGTATTTTCTTTTGTGGTCAAAATCTTGTGTGCTGCTTCATATTCTCCCTTGTCTGCTTCGTATGTAAGGTTGTACTTTTATACAGAGAGAGGTGAACTGTTTTGCTTTTACACATCAATAGCGGATGTCAGGGCTCTGACAGTTGATTTCCCACTGGAAGAAAAATTGGTGACATAGACCATAGGAATCGCCTTTTTAGTAGATTTTTATATTAAATACAAAAGTCTTTGAACAGATCTAGAGACCAATGATAATGCAGGGAAAAAAAAACGTTCTCCAGAAACGTCAATCTGGAAACAGTGTTTTGCTTTCAGAAAGCAACACTTTATCTTTGAAGTTTATAGCAACTTAACTAAAGACACCGTGTCACAGGGCTACTAACACCTCATTTTTCAAAGTCTACGCCCTGCTCACATCCAAAGGAAAGTAATTGGTGAGACTTGTGTGCAGGAAGCATTATAATCATGTGAGTGTGGTTCTCAGAAATGCACAGAAATGTACACAGTGCTGTCTTGGAGCATGAGCTTCCTCAGTTATTTTTGCATGTGTTGTGTGCTGTAGATGCACCCTTTGTAAAAATACTGTTTGAATGATGCAGGAGTGACTTGCTTAGTCTCCCTCCCCTGCTGACCCCATTGTCTTTGAAGATGTGTGATGGAATTTCTTGTTTCAAGTGTTCTCTCTCTCTTTTTCTTTTTTTTTTTTTTTTTTTAAAAAAAAAAGAAAAGGGGATGAAAGTTTTATGAGATAAGAATTCTTCCTTCTGAATCTTCTCTCAGGGAGAACACTGCAGGAGGAGGAAGCTCAGCCCAGTGTATGCAGACTAGTGTGGGAGGCTTCCTGTTATTGAGGTATAAAGTATCAAGAGTAAGTTTCTTTTGAGGTCTTTCAGGAGCACATCCTGAAGGAATAAGGGTGGGAGGAGGGAAGGTTGCCATGGGAAAGCAATCTCCAAATATCAGTACATTCTGCAGAGGGTATGTGTGGGTTCTTTGATTTGTTTGATGGCGGAGGAAAGGTTTGAAGGGAAGTTAGAGATACCAATCTACAGATACCTAGTCTCATAATCATACTGTATATAATCTCCTTATGTTTTGATTACTATTTATATGCTGCTTCATATTCTGGATACTTCCAGATGTGTCTTTGTGGCCTCAGTCTTAAGTTTTATTCTTAAACTCCTGTGCCTTTGGTAATTCTAATTGCATGTGTATACTGATACTTGTGATTGACCTTGGCATTGCCTTCAATCTGCTGGAATGACTATTTCACATCTCATGGATGGCTCCATAGATGCTCTGCTTCAGGGAGCCCTTCTAGGACCTGGTTTTCAGGCTGCTTCTCTTCTGGGTGCTGAATAGAAGCCAGAGATAGTGAACTGTGGTCAGCCACAATTACCAGTATAGACATCAGCCTGTAGATTTCAGTATGTGTGTCTAATGCAGAAATCTGCTCATGGGAATAGCACTGCAGGATCTGTCCTGTATCTACAAACTGATAAAATTAATTTTCTGCACAGTTTATGATCTGTCATTTCTGTGTACAAAACTGAAATAAAAAGGTATTCTAGACCAAGACGTACAACACTCACATGAAAACAGTGGACTGTTTCTGGAAAGAAATATTGGATAAATGACTGAAGTGGAACAAAACTGCAGATAGGGTAGTCCTATTTTTAGCAGTATTTTATAAGAAGGTCTTCAAAAGTCTAAGGACAACTGAAACTGCTTGTGTACTTTGTGGAACTGAAGCAGTAATTGTTTCACATACAAGATGTAATATATCAGTTTGCAGTTCCAAAAAAAAAAAAAAAGCCCAAACCCCAACCAACAAAACTTTAGCTCTCAGCTTAATTGGATGGAAATCAAAAGAGGAGGTAGGATACAGAAGATGGTTTATGGGCTTTGTTGAGCTATCATTTCCCTGAGCAAAGCACTTTCTAATTGGGAGCTGGAAAGCTCTGCACGTCCCAAGGAAAGAAGAATAGCTAAAGTAACTGGCTATAGGA